AGATCTAGATCTGGATGGATTGCGACTCAACTGGACCGATAATGGAAGAAGAAACAAATGTTCCAACTTCCAATAATGGAGATTGAGGTTTGAGAGGAGATGAATCAGTATGTAGATACAAATGATGCGTCTGGAATAGAGTTCTCTGTTGTTAGGTTTGGATAATGAAGGTGGAGGAGAAAAAAAACTTACGGGAAAATAAAATAGAAAGAGGAAAATTAAAAGGGTAGGATATCGTAACAACCAAGTAGGGTTACTACTAATTAATTTCACCATTAAATCGATTATGTTAACGGTTATATTTATTTTCATTTTGTATGATTATGATCCCCATATATTTAATGTAAAAGCATTAAATATGAGAAATCATAACCAGGTGAAAATAAATATAAAGTATTAAATATAGAGAATCATAACCATACAAAGATGGAAATAAATATAACCGTTGGATCCATACAATCGATCTAACGATGAAATTGATTGGTAGTAACCCTAATTGGTTGTTACAATATACTACCCCGAAATTAAATTAAAAAAACTTGAATTTTAAGAGAAAGGTATTTTCATATTTCAAGGGTGGGCACTTGCCCCCCTTCTCATATACCTGGATCTGCCTCTGTTTGTGACACCTCCAAGGTCTTCAATGCGTTTCACATTTTTTCGGATCAACATGTTAGAACATCCACAACAATAACGGACCTACTCTTGTGCCTGTGACTGCAAGTGCAGACACAAACATGTAAGAGATGAAATTTTAATGAGTTTTAGAATGTGAACAGAGAAAGACTATAAGTATGGTTAGAAGGTGAATATATAGAGAAGAATGAAAACAATGGAGAGAGAGTTAATGATATGAAGTTAGCATGCAGCTTTTTCACGGTAACTCTTTGATGTTTCTCTATTGTTACGGTGTTTGTGCCAAATGTCATCCTTTCTATGAATGAGTGCCAACACGTGCCCTTGAGTTTTTATTATTTTTTAAGCTTTATCCATATATGTGGATGAAAAAAAAATTGTTTACATTTATAATCAAAACCCACCCCCCTTACACGAACATACTGTCTTTTATTTTTTAATGTATCTAAACTTTTCTTAAAAAAAAAAAAAATTAGAGTGAAATCCCTATAACTAAGTGTGCAGACATAAATAAAATTGTCTGGGTCCACCACTGATCCACAATGATAATGGCTGGTCCATCGTCCACAATGAAAGTGGTTGTGTGGTCTATTGGTCCACTAGTGTATTGGATATTCATCATTCTTATGTGGTCCACTCCAGCTATTAGTGCGTTGGCCATTATTCACTAATGGCATTCATCATCTACTGTGTTAGTACGATAGTACCGTATTATCTTGTCTGTTATTCACACTACTATTGATCCCTTGATTGTAAGGATCTATAAATGGATGTGGCTTCAACTTCTTGAGTCTCTGAGCTCACTCTCCATATATAAGAGCTTCACACCATCTATGCTGGATGAGTAGAGTTTGGAAAGCTCACTGAAGAACTTCGTATCAGTGTTTACAACAACTCTTTGAGCAACAAGGAAAACAATGACGAGAGATATTTATGATCTTAATTTTTTCCGCACTTGATCTAATTGTTTCTATTGTGTATAAGCATGATTACATCATCAAGTATATAATTTAGAACTTACACAACATTCAATAACTGCCATTGCAGCGTTTTTTGATAGACTAAACAATCATGAAAAAATGTCCATGTTTGTTATTCCACAACAAATAACCTTATAACGACATAAGCTTCAGTTGTAACCTTAAATTTAACTAGGGCTGTTTCATAACTGTGGAGTAGGTGAAAAAATATACCATGTTTATATAGTTGCAAATATTTAACTCTGAGTAGTGATGTGAAGTCGCACATTGACTAGATATAAATCGGGTGAAGATCATATAACTGTGAAAAGATCCATAAACCTACAGTATTCCATTAGTAAGCTCTCTGATATTATATAAAGAATCAATTTAATCCAAAAACTTAAATTATTATGATAAAATCCACTAGGATTAGCCTAATGGTGAGGGAGTGAGTAATGAGTAGTAGATACTGTGTTTGATTCCCAATTGTATTCAAAAAATAAAAATAAAACTGAGAAGTGAATTTTACAGATATTACCCCTCTAACCAATTATCAGCTAGAAAGGTAGGTGTAAGACTGCTTTTGTTGGAAAAGTGGACTATATAATAATATTTATATACATGATATATTCTATTTTTAGTGAAATTTCAAATTAATTGAAAATTATTTCTTAAACTGTTAACCGCTAGTATTTTGATTCCATTTAGGTTTTGTTTGGAAGTTTGGAGGGGAGGGGAAGGAAGGGGATCCAAGGGGGAGGGAGGGGAAGGAAGAGAAGAAAATTGAAGGGTATTTTCTTCCCGGGAGTTAAAAAAATGGTAAATGATTAATTGAGGGTTAATGCGATACTTTTACCATTTTACCCTTTTTTTTAAATTAACATAATTATTATATTTTACAAATTAAATTAAATTTAAAATTTCTAACAAAATTATGTATGTACTTTTCACAACATCAAAAAAGATCATATTTTCGATGAAATTTCTACGTTGCAAACGATGAAAATTTTATCACAAAATTATTTTTTTCGTCGAAAAGCGACGGAATTTTTCAACCGATGAAAATTTTTACAAAAATAAATTTTCTATCGAAATTTTCGACGAAATTTAGTTTCCATCAAATGTTTTAAACGAAAAAAGAATTCTGTCAAAATTTTTGACAGAATATTTTTCTTTTAAAATTTCGGTGGAAATGTGTTCTGATGAAAATTTCGACATAAATTGTTTTGTTAGAAATTTTGAGGGAAACGTTTCATTCGAAACTTTCGACGAAATTTAGATTTTGTAAAAAAATTTGACAGAATATTTTTTCCGTCAAAATTTTTTGTCGAAATATTTTTGACAGAAATGCATTCCGTTGAAAATTTTGATGGAAATATTTTTTAAATCAAAAATCTTGACGAAAATATTTTTCGTCAAAATTTTTTGATGAAAATGTGTTTCGTTAAAAAGTTTGACAAAAATTTTTTTTGCCAAAAAGTTTAACAAAAATATTTCCGTTGAAAATTTTTGGCGGAATTTAAATTCTGTTAAGAATTTTGATGAAATTTTTTTCCGTCAACAATTTTCGATAGAAATGTGTTTCGTTGAAAATTTTGATGGAAATATTTTGCGTAAAAAATTTCAATGAATATGTTTTGTTTTGAAATATTTTGGCAAAATTTAGATTCCGCAAAAAAATTTGACAAAAAAAAATTTTCGTCACAATTTTTTACAGAAATATTTTTACTTGCAAATTTTGATGGAAATATTTTCCGTAAAATTTTTTGACGTAATTGTTTTACGTCAAAACTCTTCGATAAAAATATGTTTCATCAAAATTTTGGACGGAAATATTTTCGTTAAAAGTTTCGACGGAATTTAGATTCTATCAATAATTTTGACTGAATATTTTTTATTCGTACAAAATTTATGTTAGTGAGTATGACAAAATTTTGTTCCGTCTCTAATTTTGTCTTTAGTTTTGACAGAAAATTTTTGACGTATATGATTTTCATCAAAAATTCAAATGTCGATATTTGAGACTTTTCTAATAACATCGCATCTAAAAATGATTCACAATTATGTAATTTTAACATTTTAATGCTAAGGGTAGATAAATAATTTTTAATATATTTTCCTTCAAATCCTTCAAATTGGGGGAAATTTAATTTTAAGAAGAAGGAGGGTTTGAGGGGTTTAGTAAAAATCCTCAAACTCTTCCCATTCTTTTTTAAAACTCACAAAGAAAGGAAGAGCTTACTAAAATTCTCTCTTTCTTTTCCTTCCCCTCTTAAGACCAACTCCCAAACAAAACTTTAGAGACATAGCGGTTGACCCGCAAGCTATCTGGTTTGTTTACTTTTGTTTTGTTATGGTCTTCCTCCCTCCGATTCTATCCTTGCTCCATGGGGTAATGTTTTTCACTTTCAGTATGTAAAATTGTTAATTTTTCGTTGACTGGGATGATAAAAAGAGAGCTGAATACTGAATTTACTTTTGTTTACTCAATCAATCATATATGAATGGTTAAAACCAAAAGTTAATTAAAAGTCACATGATCAATTAAATAAGTGACATAACTTAACGTTTAAATCTTAATTATTTTTATACAATTTAATAGTCAAAAATTATTCCTCTTAAACCCAGACTTAATCAGTTCTCTTATTATATGTGTTCTTATTTAAATTACATATTGATTAATCAAATTCTTATTTGTCTAAGAAGTTACTTTTGATCTATTGTCAGAACTTTTTTAACACTGAGATTTAATTATATATTGTCATAAAAAAATCAACTTAAAAATAAGGATTTTTTTCTTTAAAAAATACTCTAAGTTTTGACAAGTCAAAAAGTCTATCTATTATCCTAATTTTAATCTCAAAAGACTTTAAGCAAAAAGACTTCCATTATTTAACTTTTACTTACCAACTCAAAATTTTGTATGAGTTTTACTTTTGATTAGCTTTTTTTTTCTTTCCATTTTTTTTTAACTTTTGTTATAGGGAAAAATGTGTATCATTTTAAAGGATGTAAAGTTGTGTCATTTTAAGTGAGAGAAAGAGATAGATAAAGGAGGAGAGAGAGTGAACAAAAAAATATAAAGGTGTAAGTCTCACTTCTTTGTGAGAGTGAAAGAATATAAGTTGTGTCATTTAAAAGGACAAATTTTTTTTCCTTTATTATATAGGATAAATAAACACATGAGGGGAAAGATGACATGGTAATAAAAATATCAAACCTTCAATATTAATAACACACCTAAGTATTAAATACTCGAATTGGTTTAAATTGAGCTACAAATTCATTCTGTGAGTAGCAGTACGTATTGGCTTAAACTATCTCATATATAAACTAGAAAAATAAAAGGAAAAAACCAATCAAAACAAGAAAGAAATTCCTTCATACACTGATGGCGAAGTTGTCTAAGAATTGAGAGCAGCTAGAAAGTGTCTCATTATTGCATCATAAGTAAAGGGAGGAACACTAGCCTTCTTTCTCATTAGATCTAGCTAGCTCACTCACAAGAGCGCGAAAAGGTGTTATCCTAAAGAAAGTAATAAGCAAACCATCTACTAATCATGTCAAAGCATTCCTTGGGCTTGTACTCTGGAGCTGTGTGACCTCCTCCCTACACAGTTGCAATTCAAAGGGCATGCAGAGCTAATTAGACTTACCTGTTCCATTAATTTATTAAAAAATAAATAAAAATAAAGTGGGTTTCGGATGATCAATGATTTTCTTGCCTTTACAGTAGCAAATGTTAAGCTGTACTTTTTCTCTCTGTACATCTCTGTATAACTGCAAATCAATAAAATAACAATTGAATCCTATGTCTTAATGAAATTTATTAATTTGTGACCAGTAGTGTAAAGCTAGAAATTAACAAGAAAATATAGTTACTAACCCTGCAACTTGTCCATCGACAAACCATGGCCTCCACTCACCATCAGAAGGAACTTTCAAATTCAGAGATCGTATCCATTCCTCGGTGCCCACATATGGAATAACCATATCATGATCTCCACTGTGCCCATAAATAGCAACTTTGTTTTTGTCAGATACACATATATGGGTTTCTCTTCTCTCATGTTACATGAGATAACATCTCTCATGTTATAGACACAACAAGTGGTAGGTCCCACCACTTGTTAAAAAAATAAAAAATAAAAAGAAGATAGCACGGATTTCGATGCCTCACAACATGAGAAAATAATCTCCAACAACATGAGAAAATAATTTTCCCACATATATATATATGAGAAATATAAGAATCATGTTGCAGGAATGTCACTGTTCATTCTTGCAACAAGGATCCGCTTCCGTATCTTAAGGATACGGCGTCGTATCCTGATTTTGGTTTGACTTTTTTATTTTTAAGCGTGGGACCCACACTTGATTTGTGTGTGTAAAGAACCTTGGGATACACCACCCCAACAGCTAGCTCTTGGGGTGGTGCATCCCAAGGTTCTTTATATGGTATCAGAGCCTCACCGTCCCCCACTTTAAAGTGAAATTAAAATAAAAAGCACAAAAAGGTAAACAAAAAATTAGGCCTGTGCAATTCCACGCTTCTAGCCTAAAGGGCTCTTGCGTGAGGGGGCGTGTTGAGATATATAGTCCCACATTGATTGGATGAGAAACTAATATGGCCTTTATAAGGCCTTGGACACTCCCACCCCTTGAGCTAGCTTTTGGGGTGGTGCATCCCAAGGTTCTTTACAGTGTGTGCAGAAAAATGCTCTAGTCATGTCACGTTACAAAAAGCGAACCCTATATATATATATATATACTAGCAAGCACTCGCATGCATGCGCTGTATTTTTGGGAAGTGCATGTCCATTTAGGATTACCATTACCTGTAAACGATAGCTCTAAGGTCTTCGCTGGTTAAGTTTCGATGATAATCAAGGCTACTTCTTATGTCTTCCACATAAGATAAGCTTCTATTGCACCTGTCCCACTCTTTAATAGTTCCCTAATTGCATAGCAGTCAAAGAAGGTAAGTTAGAGCACGTGGTTGAAATTTAGATAATCTCGTTATTAATTTACTCACAATTCTAACATGCAGAGCTTCTTGTACTACTTTGTCATTAGCCCAGATGTTTATGAAGATATAATTATAATCCTGTCCAAAAAGAAGCGTCAAAGTAGTTTATAAAGAAGTTGAGTAACATGAAAGAGAGGAGGAAAAAAGGAAATGGGTTTCAAACGGGAAACTTATAATCAAAAGACCAAGATAGCACATTTAGTGTGCTTATTTGGTTCCTGACTTGATTAACTGTGCTAGAGTGGTCTTTAGGAGTAAGTTGCTCCTTTTAATTACCCTGCACCATCGCCCAATAGGATTAACTTCTGAAAGGAGTGAATCTGAGACATTAACCCCAGGATGGCTTGAACCAGAGTTGAGCTTGTTTGGCTTTGTATTGAGAGAGCTACATAATGGTTCCAATACCATGGGAGGGTTTATGTCTTTTAGGCACTACAAATGTAAACGAGTGTTTTAATTTCCAGAGTTATATATAAATCTGAAACATGTCATTTTTGAACTTCAAGGTATTTAAGAGATTAATATTTCTTATGTTATAAGAGATAATTTTATCTCCTATACATACATAAAAGTGTGAGAGACTCATGTGAAGCCAAGTGAAGAGAAGAAAAAGAAACATGAATCTCACGTACTTTTATATATGTATAGAAAATAAAATTATCTCTTGTAACATTAAGAACAATAATCCATTAATTTAATTGATATCTTACTCACCTGATTGACCATCTCAAGATGTTCAATACATCCAGCATCACTTTTATTTGGGAAAGCAAACTCTCCATGACAATCAAATTTAGTTTCCTAGGAAATTAAAAAAGTGATTTGAGTAAATATAGCGGAGAAAATATAGGTAGTAGAATAGGCAACTCCACTTATATAGTAGAAACAGCATGTTTACTTTTAATTTAGCCCCTTTTTGGAAAGTTAATTTACCTTTCAGAGCAGCATGGAAGTGATGGATTCTTTATTTATAAAGGAAAGAAAAAGTACCTCATAGAGGTCATCAGATAGAAGTCCAACTCTGTAGGCAAAGTTAACTCTTGCGTTTAAATCATATTGATTATCGGTATATGGGTTCCCTAGAACATAACCCTGCATCAAAATTCAGAAGTCATTCCTTATTTAATTTCTAAAGATAGGATAGCACAAAATATTAGGGAAAAAATAATCCAAAAAGATAACACGAGAGGAAAATTGAAAAGCAAGCACTAATGTACTTTGAGATTAATTTGTGGTAAGTTTCCAGCTTTGTTACCTGCAATACAAGTAAACATTAAGAGAAGCTCTAATAAAATGGCATGAAAGCAAGAAAAAGAAAAAAAGAGGAAGATTGTTCGAGAAGGTTTCCATAGAAAGACCCCTTGGTTCTTGCAAAGAGATCTTAAGCACACCTTTAATTGCATAAAAAGGTAAAAAAATGAAATTCAAGCACACAGCTAATGCGGGCATTAAGAATTGTAAGAAGGAACTCCGTCAAACTTTATTTACCATCAGATATTTTCTTGACAATGACTGGAACAGCGATACCGGAATATGAATCACCAGCAATGTAGACAGGATTTTTTTGAAATTTTGGGTGAACCAGAAGCCACTGCATGGTCATTACATCAAAATCCAAATAAACAAATGAACAAATATTTCTACGACTACTTTAGATAAGGTTATTTACTGCTACTCTTTATAACATTAAAGTTAAAGTTTTTTTTTTCTCTCTACATCAGCAGACAGGTTCTAAAAAGTGACTGAAAAGAAAAAAAAAAAAGATATGATAAGTTATCCTATCCTGCCTTTATCAATTGTTTGGTATGCCAAGCGGATATGATATATAGTTATCTGGTTGGTTTTTCTTATCCTACCCAAAGCCTAATTAGTTATCCCATTGGGGGAGCTTGAGTTAGAAAGTGTTAAGGATAGGATAAGGAAATTTTTATTTTTATTTTTTCCAATACATCCTTGTCACGGGACAAACCTTTCTCCTCTACCATCGTCTTCTATGCTCAACCCAAAGCGAAAATATTATCATGAGTTCAGAGCTCAACCACACAACTTCTCTTCCCAACCCTTTGACATAAATCTCTCAGCCAGTGATGCGGCTGTGCATTTTTTAAAACTTTATTTCTGGGTTGTGGGTATGTTTAGAATTAGAAGATTACATAAATTACTAGGCAAAATGAAGATGATGTTATTTGAGTTCTAATAATTTATGGTAGTAAATCGAAAATATATCATTCACAAAGTGTTAGTTTTGTTTGGCCCTAGGGGATTACATATCTTCTGTTGAGTGAGGTATCGGAGTTTGAAGGCGTGCAATTCATACATTCACCTTAACCTCAAGTATGCTCCCCTTTTTTATCTACATCAATTCAATCACATACTTTCTTGTTCCTTCAATCTAAACTTGTTTTACTTGTACCATCATAGCGTCAATCAACTGATGGGTTTACCAAATGGAGTGTCAGAAGCGGTTTCGTACACTTGGACATCAATTGTTTGATCAAAGTTGCTAATGAAAATTTTATCTATGTTCATTCCTTTTCAATAAGAAACGAGTTCACTGTTAGGCCTATATCTATATCCTTTTCCCCTTATAATTTATGTAAATTTTAGATGAACATGTTTTTGCAATTTATTGCTTTCATCAATTACTTGTATTAAAAGGTGACAATATTTTATATAAATTATTGAAACCATATATAGATAAAAGTTATTGTTAAATGGTTAATTAGTTTTGAAGTTGCGTATTTTTTTGCTTGGGTTCAAATGTAATTTCATATACAAACAAGGTGGTTATGGAATGTCCACATGCTGCATCAAAGAAACAGGAAAAATAAAATAAAGATGACTCCATTTAAATCTCCACTTCCAAGAGAGATTAGAAATTCAGTGAAGCAAGTTAGTATTACCATATTCAATATAAAAAAATGTTCAATATAAAAAACATTAGAATTTGACAAATATTCACTTTCAAATCTTTGCCACTACAGAGAGATATGATGAGGGAACATATCTAAAACATCATACGAATCAATTTTAAGATTGACTATATGATATTAATGGTTTGGGTTTGTATTACAATTTTAATGGAAGTGAGTCATTTTGCGCTATGGAGGCATGGAAATTATAATCTTAGGTAGCAACCAATTATTAGAGAAGGGCTTAGGGGAGAGTTTCTGGATAGATTGATGAATCATGATGATCAAACTTGTGTTGATCAACTTCACATGTATATTACGTCATTTCATTTATTATGCGTCCTCCTTAAAAATAATGGTAGATTAAAAGAGGATGGACTAGTAAGTGTTGAAAACAGGTGGCAATATTTTTACATATATTGGCACATCTTTCCAAGAATCGTGTTATTAGGTTTATGTTTAGACGGTCTGGAGAAATGGTTAGTAGATACTTTAATTTAGGAATGTTGTTTTACGATTGCAAGAAACACTTCTTAGAGCACCAGATCTTGTCTTAGAAGATTGCTTAGACGAAAGATGGAAATGGTTTAAGGTAAGATGATGTTTGATTTTAAATCTATTCTATTTTTATTAATTATGTTTTATATTTTTTTTTTACTTTTTTTTTTGGATATGTTTTAGAGTTGTCTTGGGGAACTAGATGGAACCCATAATGAAGTTAATGTGTCAGCAATTGATAAACCCCGATATCATAATAGAAAAGGAGATATATCTACCAATGTCCTAGGCGTATGTTATAGGGATATGAAGTTTATATATGTATTACCTGGATGAGAAAGATCAGCATCAGATTCAAGGGTATTGCGAGATGCTATTTCAAGGAGGAATGGTTTAATAGTTCTAACAGGTAAAAATTGGTTATATGGTACAGAAATTGTGATATTTATAATAAAAGTATAATGTATTTGAAATAATTATTATTTTTTTATTATAGGATACTATTATCTTGTGGATGCTGGATATACAAAGTGTGAGGGATTTATTACTCCATATAGAGGCTATCGATACATCGCAGTGAATAGAGACATAGGTATACACCAACATATATGGAAGAACTCTTCACTATGAGACATTCCATGGCAACAAATGTGATAGAGAGAATATTTGGGTTGTTAAAAATGCTTTGGGCTATACTTAGATGTCGATCTTTTTATCCCATCAAAATCCAAAATCGCATAATAATTGCTTGTTGCCTTCTTCACGATTTTATCAGAAGAGAAATGCCAGTTGACCCAATGCAAGCACAATTAGATGCAGAATTGGAAACACAAATATTCAACGAAGAAGTAGCATGCAATGATGGCGATTATATTAATACAATTGAGGCTAGTTATCAGTGGTCTACTTGGAGGGAAAATTTAGCAACACAAATGTGGAATGAATGGCTAACTAATAGACATAAAATTGATTTTAGTGTTCTTTATTTGCAATTTTACTTGTATTATGTATTTCATCGTCACACCTTTTTGAATGAATGAAACATGATTTTGAATGATACAAAAGTAAGTACAATATAGAGGATAAAAAAATTAATTTAAAATATTTTGTCTAAAATTATAATTGTTAGAATTGTATAAATAAATTTAAAAAATTTAAAATTAATGTATAATAATTTATATGATATTTTGTTAAAAAGGGTATTTTAGTCTATTTATATCATATCCTCATGATATTTGGTGCACCTCAAAACACATGATAGGATAGCATAATCCTATCACATTGTTAATCCAATGCACATCAAACACATTATATGATATGTGCTTATCCTGTCCATTTCATATCTTATTCTTATCCAACTCTCATATCCTATCCGTTCTTATCCTATCCTGTGCACCAAACGAGTCCTTAATGTTATAACTATGTACTGCTGGTAGTACATAGTTATAAAGAGTAACTGTAGATAACCTTATCTAAAGTGGTTGTAGAAATATTTATCCCGTATATATGTATATATATAGAGGAAGGTTATACTTATAACCTTTTTTTTAGAACCTCTTACAACCATTTCTTATAACCGTTGATTTCCGCCAATCAACGGTTTCATTTTCGAAAATTAAACTCATTAATTAATTATTAATTCACAATAAATGATAATAGTTGATTGGCGAAAATCAACGGTGATAAAATATGGTTGTAAGAGGTTGTAAAAAAAAGTTGTAAGTATAACATTTCCCATATATATATATATATATATATCATATCTTGAAAAATCATTCATAATAGAGTTACCTTTCTCAGAAACATGTAAGTGTCTGCAGTTGATTTTTCATCACTAGTGTTGTATCCCCCTGAAGTTTTTGCATATGAAAATCCAGTGCCAACTGATGCATCCAAGAAAATAATGTTGGCAACCTATGATCATCAAGTTCAGATCATAATATAATAATATTCATCCACTAGCATCTGATTTTTCTTTTTCTTTTTTTAATATATTTGGGGAAAAGCAAAGCACTCATACCTTAGTCCAAGAGTAGTCGTTCAACACTAAAACTGGTGTCTGTATCTCACAAGACCTTTTGTAGTCGAAACCTAGTGGACCTATTCATGAAGCCAGCCAAAGCGGTCAATTATGCTTCATTCATTTTGTATTTCGGATTGACAAACAGTAAATATATAGCAATTGTAATGTTTCTACTGTTTCCGATTATTGAACTTGATTAATACACCATAATGCCATTTTTAAATTTGCAAAATATTACACAATATATATTCTTCACTTTAGATAGAAATGCGATGTTGTAACACTCAAATTGAATATTCTAAAATGCGAGTAATAATTACCGATATTATATATCTATAATTTATTGTAGAAATGTCTATCTTGCATAAAAATCTATGATACTTGCATAGTTGCCCTACTGCTTTTATAATTTCATGGGTGAATTACACTTAACCTATTTTCACTTGTTTTCAAATAACTCCCAAGGTTTTTTTTTTGTCACTCAATTCCCTTCAATCTTGGTTTAAGTTGAAAATATTAAATTTTTAGTTAACTTAACGATAGTTTAACATTTTCCCAACTTACCTCCCTAAAGTTTTTTTAAGAATATAATGTGTAAAATAAATAGTAACTCTAGATGGATGAATTAAGAAAATATTAAATCTCAAGTTGATAATGTGTAAAGTAAACAGTAATTAATGTCAAAATTAACTAAAAAGATTAACTTTTTGAATTTAAACTAAAGTTTATAATACTTAAGTGATACAAACAAAGAATTAAGAGGTGTTATTTGAAAGAAAAAAAAAGGGTAAAACTACAGTGTAATGTGTAATTTATCTTAATTTTATTCTGAAGACAAACTACCAATCAATTTCTGGTCAACAACAGTGCCTTTGGTACATTAAATCGAACTTCTATCAAGGTCTTTCATTGCAGGGAAAATTTCTTGGGTAGAACAACCCATTTTTATTTGCTATTTTAGTTGATTATATATGTTAGTGTAAGGATTAAAACTTGTAACTGCAGGGAAGCATACCAACTTCATACATGAGACCAGAGAGAGCTGAGCAACCAGGGCCTCCAGTGAGCCAAAGCACAAGTGGATCAGTTGCTGGCTGCCCCTCCGATTCAATGAAGTAATAAAATAGCTGAACCTCTTCATCTAGTTCTCCTACTCCAATGTACCTGAATTTATGTTCCACATTTGACTTTTGATGATATTCATATATATATATATGTTTAAGAAATCATGATTAAATAATTAAGAAGTAATGAAGGATACCGACCCAGTTTCAAGTAGGAATGGTAGCTCGCCAGGGAAGCCCGGTAAGCTCTTGACGATGGCATTTGATGCAACTGAGTTGGATTGAGCCAATAGGAGAATCAAGCCCCATAGGAATTTGATGCACTTGCTGTGAGTAGCTGTCACCCTTACTGTTGCTGTTGCTTTTTCCATAACTCAGCTATTATTTGTGAGAAACAGAGAAGCTTCGGTAACTAATTAAATAACATAGATGGGTTTAATCACAACACTCACTCAGAAATGAACGAGTCCCGTTCTAAACAGAAGAGAGGAAAAAAAAAATAGTGGAATCCATTTACATTTATTTCAGAGTGATAGAAAAAAAAATTATGCAACAAAATCAGAAACATTTTTTCCAATATATATTGATATTAATAGATAATAATATTGACATAGGAGATGAGATGGAAAAGAGTAAGAGGTCATCATTTGTCTATGACTGGAAGCTGCTTCAACTTGAATTGGTCACGTGTTTTATGCTGTAGATACCGGTGACAATCTATATATGATTCAGGGTGAACCGAAAGTCTCTGTACTTGAACCACCAATTGATGGGTTCCTAAATCAAACAAAAGGCATAGAGAGTACAGAAAAGCTGGTGCAGCTATCATTCAACGATGGGATATGGGGGGGTTGCTTCATGGATCACATTTCCACTGGGAATTCTATTTCAGAGTCTCTTGACAACTTTTCTGTCTAATTTTTTTTCAGCAATTAATTATAATTATGTATTTACAAAAATATATAATTATAATCTTAAAATTATTAATTTTTTCGTTTCTTTTCAGAAATTGTATGGAGTGAGAAAAAAAATGATTTTTCGATTATAAGTATATATTTCTAAAAATACATAATTATAATCGATTACTGTAAATATTTTTTGATGCCTCAATTTCATAAGCTTCCTTCATCCACAAAAATCGAATTCATATGCATATTACATTTAGTTCCCTATAATTACAAAACATAAATAGTATAATCGCATATTATTTTATTAAATTTAAAACAATCTACAAATAAAAAGGTTTGACTACATAAAAATTCCTACATTTGTCTTGGAATAATGTTAAACACAAATATCATTTCACATTTTCATATTTTTTTTTTCTCTTCACTCTTTTTTTTTTCCTTTTTAATATCTCAACGTATACTAGATGTAATTCTTTAAAATTTTACTTGAATTGACTTGCTCATTACGAAAAACCATATTTGTTCTTAAATTGTTTAATTATAGAACAAGAAATATATTTCACTTCGTGGTTAAAGTATCTTGTGTAAACAAGTGGCTTGAAAATGAAATGCAATCTTAAAGGATTAATACACGTACAGGTCAAAAATATCTTTATAGAAAGTTGAAAAAAAAAAAAAAAAAGGAGAAGAAGAAGAAGAAAAATAATTTAGGCTTAAAGTATGAAGTTTTTTAGTTAGAAACTAACTCCTTCCACACGTGCAAAATTTTCTTGGATCATGTGCAATTTATATCATTTGGAATAGCCGAATGACTAGAAGCCAACAACTTTGTCAGTCCAAAGCCCATAATTGGAGGAAAGTTACAGAGGAAGCTAAAGCCTTTTCTGTTATAGTTCTTTTTTTCTTTTTTCTTTTTTCTTTTGGCAGACTCTGTGACAGTTCTACTTCTACCCAAACACAATTACAGTTTTATAAAAAATATAATAAAATATAATATAATGTAATGTAATAAAATAAAACAAAACTCAATCACATTTGAATTATTCATTTCATAAAATAAAAAATAAAAAATAAAAAAACATTGACGAATACCAACAACTACAATAGTCAATAGTAAATTCATAGCATGCCTTTATTTGGAAAATTCCTCAGCTAGCAGCATCTCTGTTTGATGGTATATTAACTTTAGAGATCATTACACAGACACAGTAATAGTAAATGTTATCCGACACAGAGTTATACTGGGTAGGCATGGAGCCACCTCTGAAACATCTCATAACATTCTCTACGGTAGTACTCCGGAGCTGTGTGTCCCCCACCCTGTGTATGACAAAAGGCGTATTAAACTAACCATACATTTTCAGCGTAATGTCAGTACTGCACCTAATTAATTCTGTGAATTAAAAACAAGCACTTACTTTCACAGTTACGTATGTTAAACCAAATCCGTTTTCTGAATACTTTCTTGTGTAACTATCAATCAAGAAAGAGAGAAATAAAAAAAAAAAAAAATAAGAAATCGATTAACAGCTTCAAAGTCATTTTCAAGTTGAAATATAAACCTTGAAATGAAATGGGGTCACCACCCACATCCACATACCCTGCAACTTGGTCATCAACAAACCATGGTCGCCATTCATCGACAACAGTCAAGTTTAGAGTCCTTATCCATATGTCAGTAGCCACAAAGGTAATAATCATATCGCGGTCACCACTGTGCAAAGAGATATCAAAATTGCTCAAGTTAATTTCAAGAACCAAGCCTAATTAAAATAAACAGAATTAATGGCTGAAGTCAATTCAATTTGAGAGCGCAGACAGCTTAGTGAGGATGATTACCCCTCAACGAGAAGCATTAAGTTCCTTTTGCTGAGCCATTGGTGAACATGGATCACACTTTTGACATCATAAGTGTATGAGAGGCTCTTGTTGCACCGATCCCATTCCTTCACTTTACCCTTTTCACATTGTAAACCTAAAGCATCTTAGACACTAAAACAACTAATCCTATAAAGTCAAAAGGCTTTTCATCATAGATAGGAGTACCTTTCGAACATGCAAGGCTTCTTGAACGCTACCATCATTTGCCCAAGTGTAAGATAGTGCATAGTTAAAAACCTACGTAAAGAAGTCAAAGTACTGTTTATTCGATCAAATTATCAAACCACAGTTAAGTTAAGTCATACCTTCAAAAAAGAACAATACTGTGAGCGGTAACTGGTAAGGACTAAGGAGGAAATGATTAATCTTTACCCGACACCATAGTTCTGAAATTCTTGGTGGGGAAAGCACAAAATCTGGACGATTTTCTTCGAGTGGCTGGGGAGATGCAAATTCACAGTTGGGTTCCAAAATGTTATTGGGCCATATAGCTTCGATGCACTGCAAATAAAAAGGATCAATATGTTATTTTGCTTAATCTAATGCATTATTTGGGATGAGGAAACTGAACATTACGGTTATGTTACCTTCTCGTACTCGACAATAGCAGCAAGACATTCTTCATTTGATGGATCCACGACCACATAGTTCCCATTGCAACTTGATTTTAGTTTCTGAGCAAAAGCATAAACAAAGGCCATAGACTCTCATAACAAATTTACAAGATTGAGCTTTTAAGTAATAGTCCATTAAGAAGTTAATTTATATCCCTTAATACATTCCTTTGTGCAAACATTTAAAATTCTATAATTTCCAAACATATATATAGCATAGATAGACTTTTATCTTGTATTGAAAATCGTTTTTATTATAACGAAAGATGGGCCAAAGCTCGTAATCTTAGTCACTTGGTCAAGAAACTCAAGATAGGCGTATCTTGAAATGGCTCATGGGTTGCATAAAACATTTGCACTGAATCTGGCATGGGCCAAAGTCGAGTGGGATTTGAAAGCTTGTGTCTGACCTATCTCAAGCCCAGCTTAACTTTAACTCATCATTAAAGGTCAGTCTTTCTCCCTAGGCCATTGGACCAAGCCCTTTTCGTCCTACTTTTCTATACAATGACATTTTTGTAAGAATTCTAAAAAAAGAAAAATAATGGCAAGATAAATAATTTGGAATGCTTTTAGTACCATTTTTGTCCATGTATCCACATTTTTATAATGTTTAACTCTATTAATACAAAGAAAATTTAGATGGAGAAAAATGAAAAAAAAAAATAGATAATTTTGTATATGTTCATTCATCGTCTATTTTTTTGGGTATAGCTTGAGTAGTCATAAACTTGGGTAAGCCCAACAGTAGGACAAGATTTGATACGGAGCCCAAAGTAAGTATGAAATCATTAAGCTGAAGTGCCGAACACTTTACTATGTTGAACCATAGAATGTTACAGTTTCAGCAATACAGCTTGTTATATATTGGATCCATATCTCAACAACTTATCTAATAGAAGATTGAGACTTATTTTAATAATATCCAAACTATTAGAGGATCAAGGAGTGAGACTCCTATCCCAACAGTGATACTAAAGAGCTAACAACTTGGAAATATCTAAGGCCCAAGTCCATATAGATAAATATTATAAATAAAGGCTAAATATCCTTTTTGACTCATTCTCTAATGCTGTCATGTGCACACACAATCACGTCTTGATTATATGCCGTTGTCGGTGCACAGTGATTGATATATTGGCTATTAGCCTATACGATGTCTCTCATGTAGATATCTCTGAGCACATATACCTCACACTTATGTGGTGAATATTCATGGTCTACCCGGACAGAACAGAGCTTATGACTGTTGGATAGTAACTAACCCATCAACTACAAATCAAGAACAAACCTAAGCAATTTAAGGTAATAAAAGATAAGGCTGGCCTCTGCAGAATTACCTCATAGAGCTCGTCTGATATAAGTGCCATGCGGTGAGCAAATGGCATTATTGAATTACTGTTGATAAACTCATCGGTGCGAGGGCTCCCTACCAAATAGCCCTGGATGGATTTTCAAATAACATTAGCTTCAAAATGTCGTAACCTTGAGGCATTAATAAATCAACTTAATCAAAATTTACGTAAGTAATTTTTGTCATACTTTGAGATTCAACCGAGGCTGCAATCCAGCTTCATTATCTACAGGACATGTATAAAAATTGATCTTGATAAGTTAATGCACAACAAGATTGGTTCTATTCATTAGTTTCCAGTTCTCATATGTAATGTAGAAAAAGTATTTTCATCAGAGAGAAAATAAAAATGAAGGGCAAAGAATGTTGGTGATTTTTTATTTTTCTAAGAACAAATTAATCATGCAGTTACCTTCTACAACCATCTTTGTAATCAAAGGAACAATTATGCCCGAATAAGAATCACCCCCAATAAACAGTTTGTTTGAGAGATACTGTGGGTTTTCTTCCAACCACTGAAACATACAACACATCAACAACGTTAGTGGTTTTAGTCTTTCTTTATAGGAGCAGGCTATATTTGTTTATTTCTCAAATGCTAATCTCACAAACCTTCCTGAGGAACTGATAGGCTTGCTCTGCTGATGCTGAGTCCGAAGTCGCCCAACCTTGTGTAGTTATCGAATAGGAGAAGCCAGTTCCCACGGGCGAATCAAGAAATATGATGCTAGCAGTCTGAAAATTGTGGATACAAATTTATTAACATGTCAAACACTCTTCGAAATCTATGCATAATTTGGAGAAAATATCTGTAAAAAAATAATCCTGGAACTGTTTCTCATTCATTCATATTTCTCATCTCTAATTGAGATATATTTATACAAGTATTCATAACAACTTCTACCAAATAATAGCTAACAATATTCACAAATCTGAACAAATAAACAAGTTACTCTTATCTAATAATAACTACATTTCAAATTAATTCTTATCTTCAACACTCCCCCTCAAGTTGGTTCATGAATATCTATCATGCCCAACTTGTTAGTAGCTTCTTCAAAGGCTTTTCTAGACACAGCTTTTGTCAACACATCAGCAAGTTGTTCCTGTGATCGTATGTGAGGGATCTCAATTATATGATTGTCCAGCTTTTCCTTTATAAAATGTCTGTCCACTTCCACATGCTTAGTTCTGTCATGTTGAACTGGATTGTGTGCTATTTCAATAGCTGCTTTGTTGTCACAAAAGAGATTCATTGGCTGACTATAAATAATCCCCAATTCAGTTAGAATGTTCCTAATCCATAACAGCTCGCACACACCGTAGGCAATACCTCTGAATTCGGCTTCAGCGCTTGATCTAGCTACCACCTTTTGTTTCTTGCTTCTCCATGTGGCTAAATTTCCCTCTACAAAGGTAAAGTACCCGGACGTTGATTGCCTTGTAGTCTTATCACCAGCCCAATCTGAGTCTGTATATCCCTCAATACATGGTCTATTATTTTTTGAAAAAAACAATCCTTTTCCTGGAGACCTTTTTAGATACCTTAGAATTCGATACACAGCTTTCATATGTTCTTCACTAGGAGAGTGCATAAATCTGCTTACAATACTAACAGAATATGCAATATCAGGTCTAGTATGTGATAAATAGATCAGCTTACCTACCAACCTTTGATATCTGCCCTTATCTGTCTCAATTTGATCTGGATATACACCAAGTGAGTGATTCATCTCCATTGGAGTATCTGCTGGCTTGCTACCCAACAACCCGGTTTCTGAGAGAAGGTCTAAAATGTATTTTCTTTGAGACAAAAAAATTCCCTGTTCAGATCTGGATATTTCTATTCCAAGGAAGTATCTCAGAGGACCGAGATCTTTCATCTCAAATTCAGCAGCCAATTTCTTCTCAAGAGACTTCATTTCTTCCAAATCATCACCAGTTAACACCATATCATCTACGTAGACAATAAGTATGGTTACCTTTTGTTTGTTGTGCTTTATAAAGAGTGTGTGATCTGAGTTGCTTTGTTGATACCCAAACTTCTTCATTGCAAGTGACAACCTACCAAACCATGCTCTAGGTGATTGTTTAAGACCATAGAGTGCCTTTTCCAATTTACAAACAATATTCTGGTTTGAAGATGTTTTCCTTACTCCAGGTGGTACCTCCATGTAGACCTCCTCCTCTAATTCACCATTCAAAAAAGCGTTCTTTACATCAAATTGTTTCAAGGGCCAGTTTCTATTTGCTGCAATAGATATCAGAATTCTGATTGTATTAAGTTTAGCCACAGGCGCAAAAGTTTCCTGATAGTCTACCCCATACCTTTGTGTAAACCCCTTTGCTACAAGTCTTGCTTTGTACCTGTCAATGCTTCCGTCTGCCTTTAGCTTCACAGTATAGACCCATTTACAACCAACTGGTTTTTTTCCTTCTGGTAGAGATGTCAGAGTCCAAGTTTTATTTTTTTGAAGTGCCTCCATTTCAGTGTTCATAGCCTGTTTCCATTTTGGATCCTCCAATGCTTCCTGCACACTATTAGGAATTTGCACAGTAGATAATTGATTTATTGTTAAAGCATATGATTCAGACAACCTATGATATGACACATAATTACTGATTGGATATTTTCCTCTTACTCTTGGATCCGGTTCATAGGTAGATTTTGGTATGCCTTTGTTTGCTCGTTCTGATCTTCTAGCATAAGTGCTGTTTGGATTTTGGGTTTCGGGAACATGATCAGAATGTGTTTCACTTGTTGGTGGGATCGGTTGATCAGAATTTTGGGTGGAGGTGGACTCATGTGCAGCAAGTTCAGAGTGTGTTTCAGATGTATCCAAGGATGGAGTTTCAGGTATTTGAGATAGATTTGGTGCTTCATTTAATAAAGTGTGTGATGGAGGATTAGGAGGAAGATGGATAGAAGTAGAGGACCAGAATTCTTCTTCTCTAGTAATATGTTTCTCCCCCGGAGAAGAAGAAGAGGAAACTCCCCCTGAATAATATGCTTCAGATTCATGGAAAGAGACTTCAAGGGTGACATACATCTTACGAGTGATAGGATCAAAACACCTGTAGCCCTTTTGGAGGTCAGAGTAGCCTACAAATATACACCTCTTAGCACAAGGATCAAGTTTGGTGCGTAGAGGTTTGGGGATATGAACAAAAACATTGCAGCCGAATACCCTAGGTTCTAGATTCAAAACATGAGGAATGGAAAAAAAAGTTTCAAGTTTTTGTTGAGGGGTAAGAAAATTCAGAGAGCTAGATGGAGTACGGTTCAAAACATAAGCAGCAGAAAGCACAGCCTCACCCCAATAGTGGGAGGGAACATTCATGTCAAATAAGAAAGCTCTGGTGACTTCTAACAATTGTCTATTCTTTCTCTCTGCCAATCCATTTTGTTGAGGTGTGTATGCACAAGAAGTTTGATGTTTGATCCCCTTAGAGTTTAAAAAATCTGAAAACACTTTATTCTTATATTCAAGTCCATTGTCAGATTGGAGAATTTGGATGGAAGTGTTGAATTGAGTGTGAACCATATTATGAAAATTCTGAAACATAGAAAAAACTTCATTTTTATTCTTCAGTAAGGAGATCCACATCATTCTAGTGCATTCATCAATAAAGGATACATAATAAAAAGCATGTGAAAAAGAAGAGACTCTAGCTGGTCCCCACACATCAGAATGAATCACTTGAAAAGGAACCACACTTTTATTTAAACTAGGATAAAAGGGAATACGATGGCTCTTAGCCTTTTCACAAGTAGAACACTTAAAATCAGAAGGAGTACAGTGTTTAAAGAAATGAGGAAACAACTTTTGTAAATAAGAGAATGAGGGATGTCCTAATCTCCTATGCCAGAGCCAAAGTGCAGAATGTGTATGACCAGAGGACTGAACTGCGGCTGCTTTCACGTGAGAGTCACTATCAGGGACTTCAAAAAAATAGAGATTATTCTTCCTAACACCATAGCCAAGGATCTGTTTGGTTTGGATGTCCTGAAATACACAGAAGGATGGCAAAAAAAATACCTCACAATTAAGGTCTGAAGTCAGTTTGCTTACAGACAAAAGATTAAATTCAAGAGTGGGCACAACAAGTACAGAATTGAGTGTGATAGTGGGAGACAGGATGAGGGTTCCTTGACCCGTAATGGAGGCTGAACCACCATTTGCAGTAGTAACCGAGGATTGATCACAAGGTAAAAATGCAGTTAACATAGAAGCATCATGAATCATATGATTTGACGCACCAGTATCAATTATCCAAGACAAATGACTAAAGTGCGTAGATAGAGCCAGAGAATTACCTAGGATCCCTTCGTAGATAGCATTAGCTTGAGGGTTGGAAGAGGAATCACTGTCGGTTGAGGAGAGAAGAACCTTCGCAGCAGCCTTCCGCCGAGGACGTTTGGTGAAATCCCACCACTCGGGATAGCCAATGATTTCATAGCAACGGCTCTTGGAGTGACCAGAATCACCACAATGAGAACAGACAAATTGCTTGCCAGATGATGCATCCTTCCGGGGTTTGAGAGCAGAATTAGCAGCAGGTGAGCGAGAGACATGGGACAACAGGGCAGAGGAATCCGATGAAGATGAGGGACGTCCCATGGTGATGCGTTGTTGTTGTTCACGACGGAGGAAGGCATAGGTGCCTTCAAGGTTCAATTTTGGATCCTTGCGAAGAATTTCGCCTCGGACTTGATCAAACACAGAATCAAGGCCACTCAAAAAAATGTACACCCGCATCCGAGCCATGGAGGCATGCGTGTGAACTACATCAGCAACAGAAGCGGCAGAGGAGGCCATCCGATGATCATTCTCTTGAAAAATAGAGAGGAGATCAGTGTAATATACGGAGAGAGGGCGGCCATTCTGCTTAGAGGAGAAGGACCGTTGATGGAGTTCGAACAAGCAGGATTCATCCGATCCATCATAGAAAGTGTTCTTCGTGGCCTCCCAGATTTCGTGGGCCGTTTCAAGGCGTATGAACCTCTGCATCAATGGAGGAGACATCGAATCGATTAGCCAGCTTTTCACCCGCTGGTTGTCGGTGACCCAGGTGGCATTAGAGGGGTCGGTGAGAGGAGGTTTCGGTGTCGCACCAGTGAGGAACGCAGTTTTGTTCCTGGCACCAATGCGCATTTCAAGAAGCTGCGACCAGAGAGGGTAGTTGTGGTCATCGAGAATAACAGAGATAGGAAGAGAGGAAGACTCTTGCTGAATGATGATGTTGGATGGTGGTACGATGGGGGAAGACGGTGGGGGCTGAAGGTTGGGATCTGTTTCAGAGGAGGCCATTTCAGCGAAGGAATTAGGGATTTGGTTGGAAGAGCGGGTCGGGTTGGAATAAGAGAGAGAAATTAGTGGGAAAGATTAGGAAAAAAAGTGGATACGGGTTAGGAAAAAAACGGGTAAAAAAGTGGGACACTGTTCAAGGATTAAAAAATATCATCTGATACCATGTAAAAAAATAATCCTGGAACTGTTTCTCATTCATTCATATTTCTCATCTCTAATTGAGATATATTTATACAAGTATTCATAACAACTTCTACCAAATAATAGCTAACAATATTCACAAATCTGAACAAATAAACAAGTTACTCTTATCTAATAATAACTACATTTCAAATTAATTCTTATCTTCAACAATATCAAACGATGGTAGAGAAAAATTGAAGAAAACTAGAGACTAAAATATTCTACCTTTGTCCATGCATACGGATAATATGCCAATTTTGGTAATCCCCCAATGTAGTTACTAATATCAAATTCTATAGGACCTGCAGAAAAAATATATTCAATTGTTGATTTTCCTATATTATATTTTTTTGATTTTTCACCCTCATGCTTCTTGCTCACGGGTCTTTGGGACCCTGCTAGTTCAAAGAATAATCAGAACAAAGCTGACTCTCTTATAATTTTCATAAAGTTTGGCTAGAGATAAATTTTGAAAAAGATACCTATTTCATAAAGAATTCCGCAGAGAGAAGAACAACCAGGGCCTCCCGTTAACCAAAGAAATAGAGGGTCCTCTTGAGGGTTTCCTTGTGATTCGATGAAGTAGTAGAATAGTTCAGAATCGTTCACGCTTATGTATCTGAACATATATTAAAGCAATCAACATTTTCCTTCAGAAGAAGTGCACTTTTTGAATTATCAGATTCAATGAAATAATGAATTTTTCTATTCAATGCCCGAGAACATTATGCTAGCCGTTAATTTGTTCAATAATTCATTATCCAATAAGAAATAATGAATCATACTAACCCTGTTTCAAGTACGAATGGTAGCTCCCCAGGGAAGCCTGGTAAGTTCTTGACAATGGCTTTTGATGCAACTGAGTTGGATAGAGCAAATAAGAAAAATAAGCCCCAAAAGATTTTGATGCACTTGCTATGAGTAGCCAAGTGGAAGTTGTTTTGGCACTGAAAAGCTGGCAGCATTGCTGATGCCATATTTCAACTATTATTTAACTTCACTATCTCACATCTTACTAAGCTACTCTCTAAATTTGTTTTGATTTTGTCTGTGAGAAACAAAGCAGCTTCTGTTGCACTATTTATGTTAACAGATGAAAATGATATGAGACATGGGACGGACAAGATCAAGAGGTCAATATTATTTGTCTCAGACTAGAGGCTGCTACAACTGGGATAGGTCACATTTTGTCCTTGTTATAGTAAATAGCAATAACTAACATTAATGTCTAAAAATGTTAAGTATTTCCATTATCAATCTATGTGATATTAGGAGAACCGAAAGTTGTGCTTGAGGTCTTGCAAAATCAATTGATGGGCTCAACGTTCCAGTTTATACCATAACTTCTTATCCAAACACTCACATAGTGAAGAAATTCTGCTGCACCTACCAATCCGACATTGAGGAATGGAGGATGCTTAAGCATCGCATTTGAACTGATAATTCTATTTTGGAATCGAAAGGCATATTCTACATCAAACTTTCTTTCTGTAAAATAGTTGGTGCTTGACTGGCTGAGATTCATCACATTTTATCCTTGTTAAAAGTAAATGACAGTAACTAACATAAACGTGTAAAGATGAAATATTGAAAATATTGACAGTGAGAGATTAATTTCAGGTAAACTAACTTCAACACTTCCAATGATAACCTCCATTATTCATGTATTATTTTATTTTCCCTAACCGTAATTCCATTTGGACTTCAAATAAAAAATGAAAATGCTAGAAATTGTAAATGATTACAAGGCTATTATGGAGTTGGCCCAGCCTAAGGCAGACCAATTCGCTTCGAGACAGTTTACCAAACTTGGCATATTTTTATACTCTTTAGTGTTAGTTCATGCTTGCGTTGTCTAATTATAATATCTTTAGATCGAGAAAAAAATGATCAATTGAAGGTTTTAAATTTCAGGTTAATATTCTTCCTGTATAAAGGGTGTTTTAAAATTGGAATATACCAATGGAATTGATTTAAGCGGTACATACTTAATTCTGCTTAAGTAAAGTTTTGAGTTCAAGTTTTTGTGAATGTAAAAATTTTTCCTTCGAAAGAGTTAAATGAACTATGATATGGATGCTCTAGACTCGAATAGGATTATCTCCGATGAGGATACTTGTAATTTATTTTTAAAAAATTTATGAGATAAAATAATGTAAGGTTATCATATAATGTTATGTTTTTACAAAATATTTATGTGAATGATTCAACTATTTCTAATTTATAATATTTTATAAAATTAATATAAAACAAACAAACATGATCAGGCAAAAAATCAAAAACTTAAATCAACCAAACCATTAAATAAAAATAATAGACTTGGTAAAATTAAAGCAGCAAGAAAAACTCATAAACTCTTTCTCGTTTGACGTGATTGGTCATTAAACTTATGATAATTGATGTGGTATTGAATAATTAAAATTTATCACATAAGCCTACCAAAAAAAATAAAAATTATCACATAATATAAATTATATGAAAATTAAAATGTCGTATTCACATAAAATGAGTACATTGAGAAAAAAAATTATAAAACTCGGAATGTGGCAAAAAATAAAATAAAAAAAAAAGTAAATATTATTTTCCGTCCTTAGCAAATTTTACGATACCCGCTTTAGTCCCTAACAAATAAAAAGGCTATTCGTGATCCCTAAAAAATTCAAAGTGGACTCGTTTTAATCCTTTTGAGGGACTAATATGGTTCATTTTTGAATTTATGAGGAACCACGATTTCAACTAAATGGGTCTATTTTGAATTTTTTAGAGACTACGAATGGTCTTTTTATTTACTAGGAACTAAAACGGGTATTATAAAATTTGCTGAGGACCAAAAAAAATATTTACTCTAAAAAAGCAAAAAAAAAATGTTGTTTCCAATTAAAATATACTATATGTTGTATGAAAGGATCTGACAAAATATGTGCACAGATGACACGCTTGACTTTTATGAAGTGTGAAACTGAAAATCCTATAATCAATGAACGACAAGACGTTATAGAATTAGTTTCCTCGCATATTAATTAAGAGTTTTATGAGTGTCATTATATATTAGACAACATGTATCATGCCACAGATTTAAAAATGTGTGGATCCATTTTATTTTAGGAAAATGTTATACTTACAACTTAATTTTTTTACAATCTCTTACAATTATATATTTTAATCGTTGATTTTTGTTAATTAACGGTTATCATTTATTGTGATTTAATAATTTATTAATAAATTTAATTTACGAAAATCTAAACCGTTGATAGACGGAAATCAACGATTAAGATATATAGTTGTAAGATATTGTAAAAAAAATAGGTTGTAAGTATAGTCTTCTCCTTTATTTTATTCTCTTTGTTTTTCTTTCAATTGGACCCATTAATTATTTGTGTCTATGATATAATATATTTTGTGTCATATAACATAACACTTATAATACCCAATGGGTGCAGCTCAGTTGGTAATTTGGCGCTGAGTTAGTGGGGTTGGACATGTGTTCGATTCCTGCTGAATGCATTCTTGGGGAGGGGGCTGAACCTTTAGCCATTACTGCTCTCCCGCACTCCGGATTAGTCTCATAGCCGGCTCAAAGAGTCGAAGCTCGTGGGGATACCGGAAGGAGCCAACTCACCTCAAAGAGGTAATTAGGGTTGGGTAACTCAAAAAAAAAAAAAAAAAAAACATAACACTTATAATTAATCATGTTTGTCAACGGTTTGAATTTTACAGTAACTTTAAGGAAAATAATATTCGCTTTACAATTTCAAATATGTTGAATTATCTGCAAGCACACTTTTATTTTAAGAACTGTACAAAATAAAATTTAAAACAATGCAACAAAAAGTATACCTCCGGAACCAAATCCCACAGCTAATGTTGACATAACCTGCTATTTTAACTTGCAAAGGTTAATGTCTGTTCCACAAATATTTTAAAAAACAGAAACAGCTCATATGCTCTCCATAGGACGAATTTAACGAGTTAAAAAAATGAAAATAAATAAATATGAATACAGTTAAAAAACATTCTCTGTATATAATATTAGGGATGTTGAAATTTTTTAATGGTTTATATTGTTCTCTAACACGCTCCATAATGGGAAAGTCCTTTGGGCTTGAAGCGTGATTATTGCATAGACCCAATTTTTGGTTTACCTTATACTTATTTAATTCCACAAGTGGAGGGCGGTAAAGATCGAACTCATAACCTTGTGGTCAAGAAAGCTTTGATACCATGTAAAGAACCACTTCAACCCAAAATTTTAAAGTGTTGGGTTACTACTAAATAATTTTGCTACCGATATCACTACCATATTTCAACTGTTAATTTCTATCAATTAATAGTTATTATTTTCACAGATCAAACTCATTAGTTAATTATTAATTCATAATAAATAATAATTATTGATTGACAGAAATCAACGGTTAAAATATGATAGTAACATTAATAATAACATTATTTGATACTAACAATATCATATTATTAATGCTTTTGTATATTGGTGGTGGAACTGAAGCCAATAAAAATCATCTAATTAATTAATGACCAATATGCACTACACGCTATCCATTCGAACCCCTAACCAACTTTCAACGAATCGCAGGCGATCGGCATTGGACATAAAAAAAAGTAACGGGAAGCAAATAATTATTGGAATCAAGAATAAAGCTTGAGATGGATCACTTTACGGAATTAAATGTCTCATAGGTTGCGCATTAATTCAAAATTAACTCATAATTACTTCAGCATTAATTAATCTTCTTGATCAAACGATGACTTTAAACTCGAACCTTCCTCCATAAAAATAATAATTAATATAATTTTCATCTGAAGAAATATCATTCGGCCGTTGAACGTGGAGAAAAGAGAAATCATCTCCAGCCACCGGCGATCGATCATATTGGCTATTCATTACGAAAAAACTGTGATGAAGTTTATGATAATTAATTAAGGGGTTTGATTTTTTCATGTTGCATGAGAATTCAATCTTCTAACTCAACTAGTGGTGGACCTCACATTTATTAAAAAAAAAAGTTTGCACGCAAATTGAAGTATAACAACATAAGAATTGAATTCTCATGCAACATAAGAAAATATTTTCCCATTAATTAATCCACGATAAAACCTAATCAAACCAAAAATAATAGAAACGAAGGACAGAAATTAATAAGATTAAATAAAAATTCTATTATCATTGGATCTAAGAGTTAGCCAGATAGATAAATGGAGTAATATATATATAATTTTGATCGATGCAGAAACAAAGCAGCAGTTGCAGGATATACATATTGATCGAGGGAGTGAGAGAGATAGGGAAAAGAATAGGTTTGAATTAAGAGAGGGCTTGCTTGCCGGGAGTATCAGCAGCTTTTAAGGTCTTGTCTATGAGCTTGCGAGCTTTTCTGCTGCGAATCTCAACCTTGACGCTTGCACTCTTGTCCATCTTCACGTATGGCTTCTTCGCTTTTTTCTTCAGTGACCTCACCTTTGACTTTATCGACTCCACCAGATTTCCCAACTGATTCGCCATTTCTATCTGATGATTCTGATCTATTCCACTAATTCCACTACTAGTGAGTGATTCTTTCTTAAACCTCAACACTTCTCTGGCATCTACAACGAACATACCATTCTTTTCTTATTTACTCAACTTCTTTCTTTCTTTGCTGTATTTGCTTGCTCTCGAACGCGCGTGGCGATTGAGTCACTTGGAATGATCACAGATAGATAGAGAAAATTAAAAGAGAGAGTGTGTGTGGCTTTATATAAACATAATACACAAGCCTAGATGCCCGTATTTGGTCTCGGGTATGGAGTTCTTATAAAATGACCTCCATAGTACAATTAATCACCACCTTTGCCATTCACCGTTTTCTCTGACTTTTACGCCTAACCTTGACCCTTCTCCATATCTTTTCGCTATAATTTTCCTCACTCTTTTACTTGTGATTATAATTAATTATGTGAAAACATTTTCTTCTTTTAAAGAATTTTTTTTTTTCATGTTAATGACCCATAGCATAAGTGGGTCCCAAAAAATAGTGGAAAGAGAAAAAAATTTAAGGTGAGATCCACTTATACTTTGAGTCACTAACATGAGAAAAATTTTCTCCTTTTAAAAGGAGAAAATATTTTCCCATTAACTATATGTGATTTCTATCCTTTAATTTGTGTTTGTATAATGTTAATATGTGTTTTCCAATTTATTAAAGGAAAATGTTTTTATTCAAATCTTGATCACTTCAATCGGTTTTACTAATTTTTATCAAACTCTTTTCCTTTTGTTAAAGTCAGTGAACATTATATTGTAGCATTGACTATTGACCTTTTTATTGGAGATATTAACTTTGATTGATGCTAGTCATCAAATTCATTGGACCGGCGTCGGTGAGGGTCGTAAATGTTAGTTTTCCACTCGAGAATTTCAAAAGAAACTGCAAAACTGCTTATTTATGGACCGTACGAATTTGAAGCATATAAATTCTTCATTAAACAGTTATTAGTTGTTAGGTGACGTACTTATTTATGTCATAATATTTTATTCATATTTTTTCAAGTACATATTTATATTGTTACTTAAAACGTATCAAATACATATATAAATCGAACAATTAAAATTTATTAAATTTAATTTAAAAAAATAAATCTATCATATAATAGAATAAATTGAATGGATGAGATTCATTCCATTCTGACAATAACTCTTTGACGATTGCTATCTTCCGCTCAAGCACTTCGCACATGGCGCATGGTATGGCGCACACTTCTCCCCGTACTTAAATATAAATACTTGGACATCGGAACTTGCCCTGGCCATAACTTATAGCGCCTGGCGGATGTTGACCCCTTCCAATTCTTCATCTTCATTCTTCACAAAGTTTTAAATTGCTTCAAAACAACTTATAAGATATGACTAAAATAACGGAAATCAACCAAACGAGGTAGTTTGGTTGGCACATGAAAGATGAGAGCAAATTGGGGTATGAACATGCATTCATCCTCTTCAATACTATTTTTAGAATGGATTTAAAATCTTAATTATGGATTCGTCCCGAATTGAATTAGTCCCGAAGCGATGAACTGATTGTAATATTTTCAATAAACAAATAAATAATGGAAATCAATCTTTTATGTTGTTGGAAAAAAAAATATTCCCTAAAAAAATGATGTACTACTAGTAACATATAATTATAGAGATAGATTATTCTACCTACCATTTTTTCTGCCTACCTTTGACTACCACTCTAAAATACCATTGTATTAGAATCTTAACTAACATTTATCTTTATCTCTCTTCTTGAGATTATGATCTAATGGTATTTTAGAGTGTTAGGCAAAAGTATGCAGAAAAAATGGTAGATAAAATAACCTATCACATAGTTATAATATTAAAGTTTTTCTTCTTCTCTCCTCAGTTATTGTCGGCAGTTGTGGCGAAAAGAAAAAAAAATAATTTTATGATTATAATTATGTACTACCATAGTACACAATTATTATTATTTTTTGCAGAAAATAATTATCTTATGCAACATAAAAAAAATAAAAGCCTTAAATTAAAGGGAAAATTTCAAAAATAAAATTATAAGTTTCCTCTAAAATCACTTATTCCCTCTCCAAAATTTTGAATCATTTACATCCTTGCTTAAAGTTTCTTTATTACTTACACCCTTAATTTAAAGTTTTTTTTGTCATTTAATGAGACAATAAAGATGTGGGGATCACAAAAAAAATTAAAAATTCTCTTTCCTCCTCTCACTTTCTCTCTCTTCTTTGATCTAGCAACATAAGATTTATAAACCCCATAAATTAATGTAAACAATTTTTTTTTTTAAAGAAGCAGTCTTTTTTATTGTAAAATTAATTATATTTTCAACAAAATGGAAACACGAAATTATTGCTTTTGTCTCTTTTTTTGCCTTCATCTTTTTGTGATGCATGTATATATTTTTTAGGGAGTGGATCCTCTCATGTAAAAAAGTGATTATGTTATTTGATCACAATCACTCATTTAAAAATTATACATTTTTTTCTCTCTTATTTCATAATCAATGAGTGGTTGTGACCAAATAACATAATCACATGAAAACTTTTTCACATGAGAGGATCCACTCCCATATTTTTATATCAAAATAGAATAAACTGTTTTAAGAGCAATTTAAATTTTTTAGGTTATTTTTCTTTATATTTTTGAATTTTAAATTAATTATATTTCTTATAATTTAAATACTTTTCTTAACTTAAATTTTAAATTTAAAAATAATTGTATAATTTACGAGATAATTAGTAGATTTATAAATTTTATAGTAAAAAGAAAAAATTGTTATTATACCATCCAAAGTAGCCATTTAAATTGTGTTCATGAAAGTCAACAAGGGTAGGATTTAGATCTTCTTATGTGATAAAAAAACATAATATGAAGTTATGAACATACGAGAAGATCACAATCATATAAAAGTGAATCAACGATTAAGATTTTATAATTATCTATTTTAATATTTTTTTCTTCTTCTTTTATTAGCATTGATCAGATCCACAAGAGTTATTTTAGATGTGAAAGTAAATCTTTTTCTTTATATTATTTTTTGGTCAAAGTGTACAATTAAACTAGAAAAATCAATAAGGGAGGGTGATATCTGGTGACATCATCATAATATTCCACGCAATTTTCTTGGTTTATATATCCTCTGAACCCGACCTTTTTTATGAAAGGAAAAATAGAAGTGTAAAATGCGACTTCATTCCATATTGATTGGGCATTAGTTTGAACAAGTTTGAACCATGGAGTTGAAGAGAAAAATCCCAAACTTCTAATCTTCCATTACGAATGCAAAGGAGCCAGCCACCATATTAAGAAACATAGCCTATGTCTTGCCTAAATTTCTTTCGCTATCAAGTTTAACTAAGTAATCGAGGAATTTTGTTAGGTTTCTTTCTCTATCACATATTACAAATTAGTTTTCTCCACCTAGGAAACCTCCTCAAGTAACAACCATCCTCGTATATTGCCTAGAGTCCACATCCCTTTTATATTTTTATTGGTTATATATATATATATAGATGTAATTCAAGCAAAGGTAGTGCTTGAAGAAAATAAAATATACAAAATATAATTAGGGTAGAAGATTATAACATAAAAAATAGATGCTAACACATGAACGACTTTTCATTTGTTCTTTTATTTATTTACTTTTGGGGAAACGGAATTTGAGTATTAGAAACAATAAAAAAAAATAGAGATGCAATCATTTGATATCGGTATCAAATTTAAAGTTTGACACCTCATTTGAGAGTATGCTTATAAAATCAGAGCCGTTGATCTTTTTGGATCTAAAGACTCTTAAATGTGGTGTCAAACTTTAAATCTGACACTAATTTCAAAATATCTTACCCAAAAAAAATATGGAGTTGAATTAAAAACAGCAGGGCCTGGCTAAACAAGCAGAATGACATGGGCAAGACGCTTATGAAAACTCCCACGTGCAAAACCCCTTGTTAATGATAGCAAAATTTGAAGACGCTACCCTTGTTAATTGATCAAAAGAAACAAAAATACCCACACGGGGTTTACAGTAAAGAAGCACACGAATCAAAAACAGGAGAAAATTTTGGGTACAATAGTTGTACTGTACCTACAACCTGATGATACAGGACAAATTTTTGAGACTTAAAAAAATATAAAGAAAAATAAAGGTTGAAATGGAAAAAAAAAAAAAAAAAAAAAAAAGTTAAAAGAAGTATCGAATTTGATACTCCCATAGTATTGAAAAAATTTCCCAAAAACAAAGCAGTGAGGAATGAGCAAACTTTTGATACACCTAGTATATCGACTTTGATACTCTTGTAGTATTGAAATTATTTTCCAAAAACAAAACAGTGAAGAACGAGCACACTTTTGGTACATCCACTGTATTGAATTCGGTATACCTATTTACTAAAACAGATAAAAAAAGTTTCACTTTAACTCTTGCTTTTTTATTTATTTATATTTTTCTCTATATCCATTCAAACTTTCCGTGTTATATCCCTTCAAACTCTCCCCATTTTACAAACGGGTATACCTCGGTACAGTATTAAAAATATTTCAGTGGGGAACAATAGATTCTCATTCTCTGGCAGAGTGACACGAGCAAAGATTGATTTAAATCGTGTTCAACCAGCGCCAGAATTCTAAATTGAGCTACGGAAATAGAAATGTACTACAACATCCTTCCAGCCTCCTGGAAGTTTCAACATAACATGTCATACTTGCGTCTACCAAATAATGCAGAATGAGATCCAACAAGACCTATCGGAAAACCCCATCAGAAAATCAGAAGGGAAAAAAAAAAGTACTAACTACTAATAGAACTTTTTTTTTAAATATTCCATGATGCAGTAACGAATAGGATTTAACTTTTAATGATTACGTGAGAAATTAAAAAAAGTATTATTTATGATTGCGATGAAAAAAAAAAGTTCTTAATGCGCGTAGTTGTTGTTTCTGAAGGCGCGTAGTTGAGGAATGCGTGAAGCAGCACTGGGCCAAATATTCGTATAGGCCCAAACTAGGATGGCACCTTGAATTCCAGCCCAGACCAATAAGCTGGTTTAAGCTTGCATCGACGCAACCTTTCTCGCCAAGGGTTAGGGTTAGGGTTTGGGAAATGAACAAGAAATTTTGCAAGTGAAAAAGATGACATTTAATCCAAAATGCAGTCGCTTAATTTACATTAAGTTGAAAGTTACCAATTACCATCGCCATCATAGCCGCCTCCTAAAGCACAAATTTCGTTCCAAATGTGGTCGGGAACGGGGACAACAGAAAGCCTAGGCTGCCTCAACAGAGCAAAATCCTTGAAATGTTTGATCTCTTTCAAGTCCACTGGCCTCCTCATCTCACCAACTGCCTTAACGTCAACAGCACCGCCATCCCCCTCGGCGTACCACTCCCGGACGACGGAGACAACGCCGACGATGCGGCGGGCCTTGGGACCGGAGTGATAGAAAAAGCAGAGATCGTCGAGTGACATGGACTTGAGATATTTCTGAGCCTGCTTGTTCTTTACACCATCCCACTTGCTTATGCCTTCGTTCGCTGCTTGGTCCTCCCACGACCACTCCGATGGTTCTGTTTTCAGAAGATACCTCTCTTTCTCCTTTGCCTTTCCCTTTCCCATCTCTCTCTTTCTCTCTCTCAATTTTTCAATTCAAATAAAATAAACTAAACTAAACTTTCTTTCTTGCCAAAATGGCAACTGTGCTTATGTTCTGTCCTTCCCGCTCCTTAATTCTATAACCCGAACCCATAACTCCGATATATTACGGGTCGGTTTATTGGTTGTACCAATAGATACATAACAGCTTTATATTTGCATCCTAGAAAATAATTTATGATAAAAATCTTTTTTTTTTAATAATAAAGAAAAAAGTTAAAAGTCAAAAAAATTTAAAGAAGAAATTTTTTTAAGCTCTTATGAATTTTTTTTGAATTGTAAGTTTTTTTTTTTAAACAAAGAAGATATAGAGAGACTTTTCTTAAAATATATATGCTTTTAAGTAATTTTTAAGTTAAAATTTTATGTAATTATCAAACAATTTTTTTTTTTTTAAATTTTTTTTGTTTTAACTTAAAAATAAGTTTTAACTTCAAAAAAAATAGGATCTAAAACTACATAGCACGAACACCTAAAAAATTTGAAAAGATGCATGTCGGACACGTGTCAGACACTAACACGTTCCGACATGTTCTGACACGCAGTCAACATTTTGGGACACGCGATCAATATTTCGACACGCTTTTTCGACATGTGAGCAACTCTCCGACACATTTTTTTTTTAAGTCTACATTTTATTTTATTAGCAAAAACATGGAAAAATAATTTATGAATCAATTTTTTTCTGTTATGAAATTATCATGAAAAATTAACAAGGTACAACAAATTAATTTTGTTTATATTTATATTATGAAATTTGAATATTTTATTAGTTATATGACTTATTACGGGCTGTTATATGTATTAAATATAAATTATATTATATATATTAAAAATAATATTTAATATCAAAACGTGTCCTAGTGTAACATCCCGAGCGTTGATGAGGGTGGGGAGTGATCGCCAGATCGAAAGGGCATGGAAAAGGAGCGGCTCCTGACAAGCTTTCCAGCAGGGGGTTACATGAACGAATGAATCGAATCAACACTCAAAAGAGAGGATTCTAAAGACTGTGCAGGTATGAGACTGCACAGTTTGGGATAACTTATAAGAATTAATTGGTACTACCTATACTAACAAGATGCATCTACTTTTCGGTAGCCCGGAACAGAAGAACTCCATAGTTAAACGTTCTTGACTTGGGGCAATTCTGAGATGTGTGACCTCTTGAGAAGTTTTCTCAGGAAATGTGCGAGTGAGGAAAAAGCACATTAAAAAGTCTTGTGTTAGTATGTGGAGATAGTCATTGATTCTTGAAGCGGCGAGGCGTTACAAGTGGTATCAAAGCAAGCCTTTCTTTCAGTACGGTGTGGTTCGAGGACGAATCAGGCGGAAGCTGGTGGACATGTAACATCCCGAGCGCTAATGAGAGCGTGAGTGATCGCCAGTGCGAAAGGGCATGGACAAGGAGCAGCTCCTGACAGGCTTCCAGCGGGGGATTACATGAACGAATGAATCGAATCGACACCCGAAAGAGAGGGATTCCAAAGACTGTGCAGGTATGAGACTGCACTGTAATACCCCATATTTTTGTTAACTTTAACCTTATGCCTTTTAGTTAATTTGAGGAGTTCAAACTTTTAAGTTTCGAGGACGAAACTTCTTTTAAGGAGGGTAGAATGTAATACACCCATATTTTCTTTTAATAAAATAATAATAATAATAATAATATAATAATAAATATTTTTGGATAATAATGATATTTAGTATTTTTGTAATTAATAATATTGGTATTTAATATTTTTAATTAATGAGTTAATAATAGTTAAAATAATAAGAGGTAAGATAATAATAGTAATATTATTTTATTTATGTGATAATATATAATTATATATATATATATATATATATATATTAGATGATAAATTATGATTAATTGATTTATTAATTGATTGATGATTTATGTATTTATGTTTGATTAGTAATTTGTTTAGATATGATGAGTCAACAAACATAAATTGTTTAGATATGATGAGTCAGCATTGAGTCAGTAATGTGTAAGCCCTAAACTTCAACTATGAATAGAGGTCTAGCCTAATCAAACCAATTCACTCTTCAACATTTCTCCTCTACTATTCTCTCTTCTTAGTTCAAAAACTTAGTTTAATTTATTTTATACTCTTCTGGTTACCAACCGGTTCTCTGCCCCAAATTACTCTTTTCTTCTAGAAGTTAGCGAAAACGGAGACCAGGTAATCCTAATCTCTAGGTGGTTGTAGATTTCTTGTGTATGAAATTTTATTGGGTGTGTCCTAATCTTTCAGATAGTTATATGTTTGATGTATATGTAATCTTAATCCTTAAGAAATTTTAGAATGTTTTCATTTATTATATGTACCCTTAGGGTATTTAAATTAAATTATTTTAACCTCTATAAATGAATTGGATTAATTATTGGATTTTGGCTTTACCCTAATAGATGTGAATATTTGAATTTTGATTTGAAAAATTATGATATGATGATTGGACTTGAATTTTACCCTGGTAGATGTTGAATATGAAAATTATGATATTCTTGGATAATGGATTTGGAAATTATGATATTATTGAAAGATTCATTTTGGAAATTACAATCTTGATTAAATTGATGTGGAAATCATGAAAACTATTTGACAATTATGAGAATCGTGACAAGATTGAATTGATTGTATGTGATTGAATAAATTAATAGTGGGAGGATAGCTTTGGGATGGTACCTCCCAAGGTGATGAACACAACTTTTGGGCTTTATGCCTCCGATGTGAAACTGATGTGAAAAAGATTATATCTGTTCTTCCTAAAGTGGTATCTGGTAACAGTGGTTTTTTCCCGGGGTACTAGTAGCAACTTTGGGAAGAGGTGTGCACACTAGGAAGATGTGAATTGATTATGGCCAATTTTGATTATACGTGGCTGGTAACAGTGGTTTTTTCCCGGGTCACGGGGTAGACTAGCAGGGTTTTCCGGGTCTACCATGGTTCTCTTCCCACTAAGTACAATGAACTTAAACATGATTAATAATGAAATGTTATTTGATTTGATTATGATGAATGTCATTGAGTTGTGAATATTACCATTTATGTAATATTATGATTAATGTTGTGCTGAATATGTTAGTTGATAAATTACCCTTACTAAATACAATAAATGGACTAAATAAAGATTAATATAATTAATAACGAGTTGATACTTGATTTGAATTTTTGAGTTATATTACTTGATTTAATTATTATGAGTTCTATTTATTTATTTATTTATTTTTGTATTTTGATTGGGATTACCAGCTTTGCTGACTGTTTGTGATTGTTTGACTGCAATGATCCTGCGGCTGCGGGGGAGCAGATTTTCAATAAATCAGGTGGCAAGGAATCGGGCTAGCAGTGGGCAGTGAGGATACGACTCAGGATTTCTAGCTGTCATAAATATTATGTATAAAAAAAAATTGTAGTCTTAGATTTTGATTTGAATGTATAGAGTTAGCCTTGCACTTGTCCATGTACAGGTGCGGCGGTAACACTTCACAAATTCGATTATTTTGAACTTCCGCTGTTATTTATAAAAATATTGAATTTATTTATGCTATTATAAATTGTCAGAATTTGGGGTGTTACATGCACAGTTTGGGATAGCTTATAAGAATTAATTTGTACTATCTATACTAACAAGATGCATCTACTTTTCGGTAGCCCGGAACGGAAGAACTCCATAGTTAAGCGTGCTTGACTTGGGACAATTTTGGGATGGGTGACCCCCTAGAAAGTTTTCTCAGGAAGTGTACGAGTGAGGAAAAAGCATATTGAAAAGTCTCGTGTTAGTATATGAGGATATTAATTGATTCTTGAAACGGCCAGACGTTACACCTAACGTGTCGAAATATGACATTTTTTAAAATTAATGTGTCAACGTATCGAGTTCCGTGTCTCTGTCGTGCAAGTTAAATCTGAAGTGACTCGAAAGTTTGGTCCTATCAAACATATCTATTTGATTTATTATACAACTATGCTTCTAACAATACTTCTTAGCCCAAGAAAAGAAAATGTTGTCTCGTTTAACTTTGGAAATTTATTTTGATTTATTAGTGATTAATTATTATAATTATTAATGTGATTAGTATAATGCCTTTGATACACTAAATTTATGCGAGTATTTTTCTATTGTATAACATGATGTTTAATTTAGACTATAACTCAAATTTATGTAACAACTCAAAAATAGTAGCTTAATATAATTGCAATTTTTTGTTATTTTTTTTTTGTCTCTTGTATTTTTGAATGTTTGTTAAAATTTCATATGATTTTTTAAAAATCTTATAAATTCATATTGTCCTTTCAAATCTTATAAATTCTATTAAAATTCTTTAAAATCTAATTTTATAAAATCTTGATTTGAAAAAAAGTCTTTAAAGTCACTACAATTCTAGATAATCTTTTAAAATCTATAAGATTTTTTTCTCAAAATAATCTTTTAAAGTCCTATACAATGCACCCCCAAGAGAAAGTTATTGTTCTCAAAAAAAAAAATTATAACCTCTAATAACTTGCTTGACAATTTTTTTTTAATACACATTTCTTACTAATTAATGACTTTTTAAATTTCTTATTAAAAACAATTTACTCTCATATCTTATGTATTGTTTTTCACATATATTAATATTAATTGCAAGATTGAAATTTAATAATAAGATAAGGTCAATAAAATATTTAAATTAAGAATTCAGTTCAAACTCACTACAAATTCAGCAGCACATTCCGTACGTTAAATTGCCACCTTTGTGTCAACAATACACAAATCCATAGAGAAGCGATACACTAGTGGTTCACAGAATCAGTCAGGTAAGGGACATGCCATCGTTGATAGTAATCAAATATAAATATGTCAAAATAATTCTTGTTGGCCAACTTCATCATCTTGTTACTGCCAACAATGCATGCAGTAGAGCATTCCATAATGAAGAACGTTCAAGTGCACTGGAGCATTTAAAAAAAAGACGGTCAATGTTTACATGTCAATTGCTTTGTATTCTGGTACATTTTAGATGTTATCATGGCGGCATGTTTTTTTGTCCAAGGCTCTTTTTTGTTTTTAGACTACGGGGCCAGAAACAGTCCAAAAGAAATCATGGGACAAAGGTTCCTGCTAAATCCTCACTCAAGATTTGAGCCACACGAGAAGAAGAACGTTCTCAAAACCAGGAAATTAACCATCTTGACAAATTTCCCTCCAAAGGTAAAGCATTCAACCTCTAGCCACAGAAAAAAACAGGAGAAAGTTTGCATGGACATTTCTACATTGAAGTATGTTAAAAAGGGATTAATTTTGAATATATTTCACACCATAATATCTATGAATAACATACTCCATAAGTACTTCATAAACGGGTGTCTAATTCTGATGTTTGTAAATTGTAACTGCTTGGCACTTTTGCCTGCCAAATTTATGGCTTAACGCTATCAGAGGCTATATTTATTTTACCTTTTTTTTTTTTTGTATGACTAATTGTTGATGAATATAAGCTAATTGCGCTGTCTTTTATTCATTATCTTCAATTTGATGTTGCGTTTTGGATTATACAAAAAGACTTTTATCCCGAAGACTAGATTGCGCTGCAAAGATTGATAACCTAAGAAGTTCTAGAATTAAAGAAAACCCTTCTCAATCCTACGTTTTCTACACATATGTCCTAAATATAGATGAAAACAGATAGAGGATTTAATGATACCAAGAACATTACTGCTATCATGATACGATGACTAATGAGTGGGTGACTTGCGCAATATTTTGCAGTTATACTAGACAAAATGCGATTGGGAATTGCCAGAACTTTAATACTTGTAGCCAAGAAAATTGGCGTCGTATGGTTTTTGATGAATCTCTTCATTAACTGAAGAAGGAAAAAAAAAGGAATATTTTTCTTGTAAATGTTAAATGTTCACAATAAAATAATTAATTGAAGCTTAATAAAGAAATTGCTGTTTCAGTTTCCAAAAACCAGGCAATAATTTTCTATTTCTCTGCCAACCAAAAGCAAGATGTCTTCTTTTTGATATCTGTTGCAAGACAAGCATAGCAAGCAAAGGAGAAAAATAGGCGAACATCACTATGTTGAGTTCCTAAAATAGTGTGTGGTTTTAGACCTCTGTTTCATAAAACAGGGCATTTTGGAAGTAAAATATACAAAAGTAGATAGGCAGAAGATTTCACCGACAATTTATGAACAAATTCCACATGTTCAGGTCTAGGATAAACTAGCTTATTTTATCCAGAAGAATAAATAAACTTCATTTTGTCCTTCTTCACATCATTAAAGTCAGGAAAAAGATAATAGGAGCAAATCAGTGCAAAATTATTGAAACAGTTCAAAAATATTTCAATTTTCTTCGAGTAGTAATAAAGGACACATATACTTGTAAGCTAAGAAACTTCAAAATTTTAAGCTTTTCTCTGTCTCTGTCTCCCCACAAAAGTTAATATTCACTTTGGAAATCAAAGTAACTTTCGGCTATTTTGTTGGTTTTATGCCAAACAAATTGAAAACTTTACAGCTGATGCTTAGGTTCAACGTGCAAGATTGCAAGATTCCATTCTATTTGACATGACAATTGTCAGCACAACAGAGCTCCAAGGGTATCATAGTAAAAAATGTTACTATTTTTCTTTCCAAGTTTCCTTAATATGTGCTGAAGATGTCCCAAGTCCAAACTCAAGATTATGGCACTAGGAGACTGAAGTTGTGAAAGATAAAGATCCCAATTTATTTCTACCATAATCAATATACATAGATTTACAATATGAAATCAAAAGAAATGTATCTATCCACATCAGGCAGAGAAGGAAAATAAAAATAAAAAAAACAACTGAAAGATAGCTGACTAAACTAGCTCTTGTCAAAAAGCGACATATATAGGCTACTGTTTGTATATATAATTACAAGAGAGGACCAATAATTGATAGATATCATGGCTTTTGCTTCTGTGTGTAGATATAATCTGTGTGGGCTGCTAGAGTTCTCCTCATCAAGCATTCTTCTTCGCCACTACTTTCACAAGTTTCCTCTATGTTGGCTATTTCCTCTTCCAAAACCTTCAAGCATATATAAGAGCAGAAGATTCGTAATTGAACAACATAAAAGAAAAAATGTATGTGATGTAATTGCAGCAATTCCAAAAAAGAATATGATATAAATTAGTGAAAATAACTCACCCCATGTTGAATATTGTTCGAAATAACATTGGAAGAAGAAGGGACAGGTCTGCCTGCATATGTGAGGGTTAGGAAGAGGAAGAAGAAGGCTACCATGCAAACACTGATCTTAGACGACATTTTCATTCTCTGCTTTCTACAACCGCAGCTAGAGTTGGACTCCAAATAGAATCAATTTATAGACAGCGTGGAACTACAAGGGGCAAAAATGAAACTTTAGTCTTTTAGAACTGTACAAAAATAATTATAAATTACAATAAAATCAATTAACAAGTAAGGCTTCATTATACAAAAAAAAAAAAAAAAAAAAAAAAAAGGAAATGGAATTTTCAAGATCGGACAGAGATTAATTGCAGACTGGCATGACTAAATGCTTGGTGCAGTCATTGAAAATTTAGTGATTCTGTTCATAGTCAATAGTTGGTATTCTGGAAACAAGTAATCTTCGTTAACTCTACAATCCATTTATTTTGACAAAATCACTATTTGGCTTTATCAATCCAGGTGCTTCCCCTGAATTCTTAACATTGACTAGTTCCGATTTGGAATTTCTCCTATTCAAAGAATTGAAGTTTGAAGCTTCGTGGGATATTGGAGGAATCACTCACCTCAAAAAGAAGATAAAGATAAAAGTAAATTATTTTTTGGGCACTCAACAAAAATTATGAGGTCATTTTAGAAAAAAAAAAGTCGACTTATAATTTGTCTGAAATTTAAAACAGGTCTATTTAGTCAAAATTATGGTTCTTCTAAAATTCAAAGAAGACCACGCGTAAGTCACTTTCTTTGAATTTTAGAAAAAATCGCGAGTAGATTTTTTTAACTTATTTTAAGAAATTAAATTAGGCCTAATAATATTTATTGAGAAATCAAAAAGTACTTTATTTGAAAAATAATTAAGGTGGTTATTAAAAAAAGTAAGGATAGAAATTAGGAAGCCATTTCTTACCCCAAGAGAAGGGTAAACGGAGATATCAGATATACAATAAATGAAAGTTTGAATTTGTTTCACTATTAAATTTGGATCAGATTATATTAATACTTTTTAAATATTCATATTAATTTTTTTTTTTGTGTGCACATTCTTAATCTTAGTTATTATTATTATTATTTAAAAAAAATGTAAAAGCGTTCACTTAACATGACTTTCGATTTTAAATTTATGTTAGTAAAAATAATATTTTTTTAATTAAAATTGGGGCATATCAATTTTTTTATTTTTTGGAATGGTATCAATTTACATTTATATAAGAATAAAAAAATTTAAATTCAATCTCCACTTGTAAGTTGTATCTAACTGCTCATATGAATAATAAATTAAAGTTATTATATATGAGTATAATTGATCATGTCCCATTAAAATCTCACATGTAACTTTAGATTAAATAGATGGGGCTTATGCAGATTTGGAAAGATATACGATGCGAGATAATACACAAATTAATAGGAGAAGATTCATTCCCTCGCTTAGCATGAGTTTAGAGGGGTCTAAAGAAAGACTACGGCTGCCTGTCAAGTGTGAACTTCATATTGTCATTTAGTTGTTATCTTTAATATAGCTACTTCTGTTATGCTCCAATTATGCATATTCTGCAGTTTGCTGAAGTCCATTCTAGTATTACATATATTCTTCAACATAATTTGGTGAGTTTATGTTATATGGTAAGACCCAAATTGAGGGTTGAAATATCTGCTCTCTTCAATCAACATTTTTTTTTTTTTACTCTTTTCAATCGGTTCATCTTTCAGATTAGTCTGGTTTGAGTATTGTGGGACTCTATAAAAGGAGCGACTCTCCCATACATTTTTTCCATTCTGAGGACTCGAACACGAGACCACCGGTTAAGGGACACAAACTCCTTAGTCCTTACCCCTTGCGCCAATGGTATTTGGTACAACACCTGATTTTAATGTTACCCTTTTGTGGCTCAGGAACGCCTTTGGAATTTAAGTTGTTTGGATTTGTCAAACGATATTTTATGGTAAGATATTAAGATATACGACTTTTACAGTTTTACTTATACCTGCGTGTTATGAATAGCTTCCTGTGCTATTCTTGATTAATTCTTTTTTCTTTCTAGAATATATAAGAGTTGCTTAATGACTCTGACGTCACCTGATCTTACAAACAATCATGATGTGCATCAAATTGAAGAAGCAAATCTGTAATGCAAAAATATGTCAAAATGATTTTCAAGTTGCTCATGAAATGATGATCTTTCGCATGCTTAAGAGGGGAATCCCATACTCACACGGGGCTATGCTGGTGGACCTCAGGCGTGGGGGATTGTAGATGAACTCTAAATTGATAAGGGTTGACAATGATCATGGTTATCTTTTTCTCCGTTCAATGAAGGGCAACATTAGCAGCTTCAAGCAATGAGAGCCTCTCATTGAGAGGGCACAAATTGTGGACAATTCTTTTCGCATTGATTAGATGGTTGCAGCTGGTGGGGTTGGCCGGTTGGATGACTTAAGGTGGAAAGAGAAAAGTTAAGAATTCAGCATTGGCATTTGGAAATGGAAGAAGGTTTTCATTTATTATTCAGCCTTTGCATCTATAGTGCGATCTAACTCAGTATCAGCTTTTGTACCCTCACGAATTTCTTCTTAACATGAATACAGTTTTTTATAATTACGAATGCAGTTGGGGTTTGTTGCTTGTGAAAAAGATGCAAGGACAGTGGCTTAAAAACATGATATTTCTGGATTCAAAATTATTTCACTTTCTTCCTTCCCCAAGTTCTCTGATCCCAAATAAAGTCTGGATTTATATCCAAGTAAATCAACCACCACGAGAGATATAACGGTTGAACCAACCAACCAAGCCTTTACATGAACAGAGAAAGTTCTATAATTGTACTTGTGGGACATAAAGATTTTCACACAGATGAAGGTGATCTACATTCTACAATGTTAATATATAGTAGCGTCTATAACAAAGTGAACGGTACCATAAGTATAACACAATATTTATAATCTAACATGGCTATACACACTGGCGGACCCTGAAATTTTTTTTGTGGGGAGCTAAAATTAAACATTTGTTTCTCTCTTCAAACATAATATATATGAGAGGCCAAAATACGAAAAATTAAATATTTGTTCCTCTCTTCAATCACAATATGTGGAAGATCGAAATACCAATCCAGAGAACATAACTTATAAATATCTCTTTTAACTTGTTATAGAGAGAAAGAAGGAGGTGGAAGATGTCACGACAAAATCTACTATCAATTTGAAAAAAACTACACCTTTTCAACCCCTAAAATAAACATTTTTTATGCAAAGAAAACAATGAAAAAGAGAAGAGAGCAAAAGTTTAGATTTCACAAAAAATATGTACTAATTATTATAATCTAAATAGATAATTCAAAGCATACCCCTGTCATTTCTTAACCTCTTTTTCTATTTACTCACTATTAGCCCAACAAGAAAAAAAAGCCAAAGATAAATCAGAATAGACAGATTGCCAAGAAGCATAATCACCAAAATCCTGATGCCCCTCACTTTCCTCTCTGTCACGGATCAACAGAAAAGGAGAGGGATCGAAAGAATAAGGTTCATTTTTTCATAAGACTCTCGGACTTCTTATTTTTATTCATGGATGAGAAGATTTGTGCTAACATCTAAGCATAATAAAAGTTGAAACTATTAGTTTCAAGTCGAGGTTTTAACTATAATTTAAGGGGAATGTTATATGTTTACCAAAAAAAAAAAGAAATGTTATATTTACAAACTTTTCGTTTAGAAACTTTTACAAACTATACTGTGTCTGACCGTCATACTTTAATCAATAGTGTATGACTGGTCATACTTAGTGTAATTTGTAAAAAAAATTATAAAGAGATCTTTTCTCATAATTTAATGCTAATTTCATATGCTAATTGTTACACCAGGTCTGTGCCAACAAACAAGAGCCATGTAGCTAAAAGAATTTGAACTAAGAGAAACCATGTAGGTGTATTGGTGGTCATTGATACTTCTAACACTGTGATGTAATCTTAAATAAACCTGAGAATATAAAGAAACTCTATAAACTCTCTTCGGTGGGAGAAAACTACTTCACATTAATGGAGAGAAAAAATGAAGATTTTTTGTATTATACTTATATTAAAAAAATTCTTCAAATTTTGAGGGGGCAACCGCCTACCCTAGCATCCCTCGCTCCGCCACTGGCTATACATGATTATAAAATTTATCCTTTCTCTTTTCTCTTTCAATAATGGTCTCGTAAAGCTTATAGGAATGACTAGTCGCGCTTTTAATGTTGAAGCCACTAAAGAGAGGCAAAACAGATGACTTACTGCATTAAATTGAGGAATTAATGGACTCAGAAATATGGTGGAAGTCTTTCACAATAAATGAATTGATTTTGCTTGCCTACATTACACATAGCCACCCAAAGCATCTATGCCACTAACAAATTTTTGTATTTGACATTTGACCAGTTAGTGATCCACATCCATGTAGACGAAGAGAAGAGGATCAGATTCAGATTGAACCACGATGTCATTGTTTGGCCGGGTCTCTTTCTATGTGGTCAAAGCACCTCAGCACTTCCGTATAAAAATTTTGTTGCCTTATTGGGAGAGACTCAGCAGAGAGGATCATTTAAACGTCTTAATCAGGAAATAATTGAATAGGCAGTTACAAATTTTGTTTCTTTTGTTTACAAAGATTTTATGATAAGATGTTGATCCTAACCTCATTTTAACATTTCACTTGTACCCTAAACGGCTAAGAGCATACGTGTTTCAATTTTTTATTTTTTTATTTTTTATATCAACCCTAATTATCACCTTCACATCGCGTTGAAGTTTTTTGCCCATATTAAAAATATATTTGGTCAAAATCGAATTCAAATTATCTCTCCACCTATTGTATTGTCAATTGAGCTACACTAGCATGAGTGTTTTTTAAGGGTTTATTATTTCTCATGTTATAAGAAATAAATTTATCTCCTATATATATAAAAGTTTGTGAAGCTCATATTTTTTCTTTTTTTCTTTTCTCCTCACTTGGATCTACATGGACCTGACACATTTTTATTTGTGTAGGAAATAAATTTATTTACTATGAGAAACATTCAACCCGTACTTTAAATATGTATGCTATAGCAGAACTTATGT